TTACAATATGCAATATATTCGGTTTTAGCATTTATATTCACTGTTGACTGTACATTCAAAGTGTTAATGCTATGTTATTTACTGTCATATGCAAAACTAGGGTAGCACTTGGGGTGGTAAGAGATCACTTTAGGGTGGAACTTGACACCACATGCCACCCTTCTAGATCCGCCCCTGGTTGGCATGGGACACTTTTTTTGAGTGATTCATTTTTATTATGACTTTTATGTACATTACAATGACAGGTTATACCTGTTTCTGAATAACTGCTATTTGTGTAAAACAAAATAAACTTATGATCACAAACTTTCACTTGAAATTTATCACTAAACAATGAAATGAATGCTACACATGTACTATATCCATATAAAACAAACAGTTACAGTCAAAATGATGTCAAACATGTCAAAATGGGTTTCAAGAGGACAAATGAAACGAAAAGTCCAGCACTTTGTATTTGTTTTTACACTTGTTTCTACAAATGTATTAAAGTATGTTTAAAAAGAACAAAGAAAACAAAATTAATATATACAAGATACTGTTCCTTTTAAAGTAAATACTGACCAGAGTGAGATACCTTGGTGGAGGGTTGTTATTATTTTTTAAGTGCTTTAGTCATTATTTGGAGTATCTGTCTGAAGTAAAACAAAAAACAAAAAAACAAAACTCAGTTTCTTTGTTCTGTTTCCTTTTGTTTCCCCCTGTTCACAGATCTTGTTTGACCTCTTGGTGGTTCTGTGTATGTAGCAGATTTGTTGCTGTAAACTGAGTCAGTCTGTTTGGAGGGCCTCCTCCATGGTGGCCGTCACTTCTGGACAGTTGTAGATGGTATCTGCTTTGTGGCATTTCATGGAGATCATTTCCTCTCTTGAGCTGCTGGTCTGGTTGGACTGAAAGACGTCCATGTTCTCATAAACAGGGCCAGGATCATCAGAATAAGAGGCTCTAGACTGAGATAATGGCAGTGTTCTTATGGCCTTAACATAAGATGCTTGTGCATAAAAATAATGAAGTAAAAATATGTATTCAGTCATATTATCACATATACCAGAATGAGAAGGTTATATGATAAATATCTGTTACCAGTGTTGGGGAGTAACGGAATACATGTACCTCCGTTACGTATTTAAAATACAAAATATGAGTAACTGTATTC